GAGATTCGGTGGAGCAGGATTACCCATTGGCTCCAGAACTACCTTAAATCAAAACTGCTGACACTACAGATGTTCAAGAAAATTATTCATTTACATGGCATTCATACCTTTTGTAAATCTGAAGACCATTTGAACCGAACGTCTCCGAAAGCTCGTAAGGGGTACAGTTCACCTAAGAGTCTCCCACCACGAAGTAACTGTGTTTCAGAATTCGGATGTGCCGCGCGAATTCGTTGTACCTGAGATAATGCGTGGTTCGCAAGATAGGAAAGCTCAGAAAAAGAATGGATAGTGACAATAATACCGAACCTCTTCAGCATTGTCTACGCAGTGAGCACGTGAAAGCTGTCGGGCAGTGCACGCTACCGTTTGAGTGGACGACACCTAGGACTTTTCGAAATATGTAAGGCATATAAGGCAGGACGGTAAATGAAAACGATTATAATCGAAATAAATCAGTCTACTTGAAACAGAACTCTACGTGAAACTTAATTTTGTCGGATCAAAACATATGCTCTTGTTCAATTTCATTCAGATTTTTTCCTCATACTCAGAGCAGTCTGTGCCTTTGCAGAGGGTATGAAAGCTCAATGTAGCAGCAAGGAGAGTAATGTTAGTAAAGAGAACGAAATTAGGTCTTCATTCGTACATGAGTTATAGATGGACAGTGCTGCTTCTAGCTCCGTAATGTGCGCTGTGCTGCGATGTTCTGAGGACCTATTTCGATCTATGCGGTCCGCCAGATTCGATGAAGTCACCTGAGCGACGAGTTCGAAATGCACCTATAGTCGACCTGAGAACAGACCTTTATAACAACGCTCGTCACATGCCACAAAACTTAAAGGTTGTGCTTGACTAGTATACACACTCGATGTATGGTCGTCCACCGTTGGATATAGCTTGTTCCGCATTGGCGCAGAGAAACTTATGATATGGTAAGACATTCGTGACTACAACTCCAACAACACTCTACAACATCGCTACGCGGTAACCCCGATCTTTTCGGAATACAGGTATCCCAGATCTACGCGGAAATGGCATACGATCGACTTACAATAATCGCAAATATCTTGTTATCTGCCTTGCTGAGGAATATATGAGAATGTTGTGGTAATAATAACTCCCCTCTATAATCAGGCAAGAAAATCCTTTACAATTTCAGTGGTGCCGAGCCATAAAATCAGAAAAAAAGGAAAATTCGTCTGGAAAACAACTAAACATTTAAGTATTGGACGTTCTCACTCACCTAAAACAGCAGCACCATCACCAACATTAGCTACATGTAGATTGCGCCCACGCACATGCGCCAGGGTGGCGCACGATCCAGAGGCAGCAGTCATTACTGATAATCTAAAATAAAAGTGTAGAAGATACCAAAATCAAAATATGGAAATAGGCCTACTGGTCAAAGAAAAGATTCTTGAACAGATTCGAAAACATTCTCCTACTTGTCAAACTGTCCTTTACTATCAGGTAAAGCAGCGCGACATAAGTCTTCGTCACACGCTTCGAAAGCAAATTTGAGAGCTTCACGGACTATAATTCAATAAACTTCAAAACTGAACACCATCAAATCATTTAAAAGAGAAGATAATCTATTGAAACGATAGAAACGAAAAGTCTGTTGCAGATAGAGAACAGACGAAAGGACGAAACTTGGAACAAGTACCTGTATGGAGATCTTTGTTCTCAATGAAAGCCTTGTGACAAGCGTAAATATTTTCCATATTTGAATTTCTGGAAAATAAAGACCTGTATAGAGATGAGGGTATGTCAATATTCCATGAACAATCTAATCGCGCTGAGTTTTCGCTAGTGTAGATTCACAAGTTACATTTTAGCAACGCTGTGAGCTGACCTCAGGCAATAAAGTCAGTTCTAATACGATTTCTAAATACGAGTGAACACAGAAATTCATTGCTAGAGATTCTTCATCTACCGTAAAACTCTAGGCGCAATTAGATAAGAAGTAAAAATTGAGGAAAAATTACTAACACGATCCAAGTGACTAACATGAACAAATTCGGCAAGTGATTCTCAGCACTGCCAAAAATCCATTCCAGACGTTCTTCCAACGGGAGAGTTCTGATCTTAAGTAATGTTATACACGCAGAGATCGGAATACTCGGATGCATCAGAAATCACGTATGGATATAAGGATAGCAACAGTGAGCATAATATTGTAAACGGAAAAAGAAGATACAGAGACCATTTTTTTCGGTGCAAGAAATTAAGCGAGGAATACACTAACCTCATGTTTTTGTAAAACTGCTGCACATATATATGGAAATAAGGAAGTGGATACATGTCTACTACACGACGGTCCACCATGACCATCGAAAACACCGAATAAGAAAGCATTTGACGACAAACCTATATTTGTATAATCAGCTAATAATGACGGAATGCATAAATTTTCGAAGTTTTTGCTTTACATCAGATATTAACGCTTCCGAAACGGCGTATATCCAAAAAGACGAACGATTTTCAAAGGACCCTCCCACTGGAAAGAACTCTTTTCCTAAACTTTGGCAATTGTTCAGAAACTTAAGCAACTTTGACGATTTAATTAATGCATTTGGTTGCTGAAAAACCTTCCCTATTGCCTTGTAACAGCGAAACTCATGGTATGTTCACACTTGGTTGCGTTGCTGCTTGGTTGGGATCTGTGAATATAATTTCGTTAAGCTTTCAATAGTCGGTCGGATATGAAATCTTCGACAATTTTGAGGTTGAGATCGATTTCCCAAGAAAGTTCTCGTAGAACGCTGTAAGAGCGAAAAGAAAATTACGTTACGCACTCGGGATTTTCTTCGTAAAGAAGAGCCTCATATGCACGAAAAGCATATGATCACGTAGGGAAAATCATCAAGTATCAGACAACACAAGAATCCGTAAACATTTTCCTTGAAACAGAAAAAACCAATCAAATGAGAGCGCGAAAATCGTGCTTGGCTTGTAGATCATGCTGCGCGATTGATCAGACCACTAGTCGGAAAGATTGAATATCGAATTATATCGTACAATTACTATAAAGGAAAAAGGCCTATAAAATGAACCTCCCAGAAAAACTGTTAATACATTTCGCAGCTGAATAGAAGTCTTCGATTGGATTGTTAGCAGCTAACTGACATGTATCAACTCGAACAATCGAATCCTGTTCAATGGATACTGAACGTTCATGAGCCCTAAAGAACAAACTAAGAAAAAAAAAGCATAACAGAAGACCAAAAATACTAAATCAACTTCAGGAACGATATAGAATCTCTAGTAGTAACACAATCACCGAAACATTACGCCCATTAAGTTACCATCAGATCGAGTCTGAAGAGTATTTCTAGATGTAAAATAATATGGCCCAGTGGCCTTGTCTTCCAGGAGAGTCTTGAAAGCTCAGAAACTCGACATTCCCATTTGAAACTCATACAAGAACAAAATTTATTTATTCTTTTGTTCACTGCTACTACTATAATATAGTCCGGCTTATGTATTGTGCGGGTCCCATACTATTAGTATTCGATTTGTCTCCTCGCAATTTTCTCTTGCTTGAGAGATAATCGTGTTCTTCATAATGTCGTAGAATACTGGACGAGCAGATCTTGCAAGATCCAGGGAAAGCCAAGCTCGGGTGTTCCTTTACGGCATTCGTGGATTTATTGCGGGAGTGTTCGGGGGGAATAGGAATGAAATCATCCAAGAAAAATTCTGTAATATCTTCCTGCTCTCATTCTACTTTAAACTCCTTTACTTTATCACTTCATTTCCCTCGCGTTGCAAGTTTTTTCTTTTTATCACTGTGCGGGTCCCAATACTCCTAGCGTTCGATTCCTGTCCTCACTTGCTTGAGAATTTGATCTCAGTCACGAATGTCGCAGAATACTGTTCGAGCACGCTTCGTTGGGATCTCCAGGACAGCCAAGCTGGAGAGCTGCTAGCAGAGTGTTCCTTATTGACTGCCTGAGAGTATTGGGAGAGGCGGGAATTCAGCCTCGCGTCGAGCGAGCATCACTAACCGCTGGGTCACCGGCCCCACCAGCCGTCGGCTTCACGCCGTTTTAGAAAAGAAAGAAAGCTTTCTTAGATGCAATGTTCTCCTTCTCCGTTGTCCTCTGTGTCATCCAATTCGCTGCGGCGGAACCGATGGAATCTGTGAGTACACTATGGGTGAGACAGGTGACTCAAAATCAACAAAACAACAGTGTAATATAGCGACCACAGTCACACAACTATACGATAAAATCAACTCGGCAACAGCTGCTGATGTGGAATAAAAATAATAGAAAAGTAAAAAGAAGCAGCAGGTATAGGGATAAAGAATAAACCTCTTAACGTCAATCAATCCCTAAGGGATGCGCATGCATTCATCAATTTTTAGCTTCGTTTGAGGTGAATGAATGCATATCTGGCCTTTACAATGTTCGCCGCGGCCTACCGCTGTATCGAATCAGTGCTGCTTATCCTCTCAGAGAAGTCTGAGAAAAGTCTGGTACCGATTTCACCAATCCGAAGGGATGGATGGCTTGATGAGCCATGAGCGCGAGATCGGACCTTCGATTTTGTGTGCGACGAAAGCACCTCTGACTACTGCGCCATATGGGTTCTTGATGTAACTGATAATATATAAGTACATAGAAAGGCTATGACCATAACGAGATAGAGAGAATTTGTATGAACGGATGTACCTTAAGTGAGCGTCAGCGTTCCATCGCATATTGCGAACTGCATGACGCCATTGTAGCAACAATTGACGACTCAGCATCACATCTGTGCCGAAACTTTGAGTCGTAACTATCCGGAAAAACCTGATAAAAACTCTTGTTTCACGCTACTATAGCAGTGCTGTGGTGTTACAACACTCATTAAAGGAAGCTCGTCGATAGGCAAAACTTTGAACCTCAAGAAGGAGCTGAACCTACGTCTCAATCTTGACCGGGATTGTGCGTTACGACTGTTCGATGGTACAGATACACTCAGCAATGTAGAGTGATGTGCAAAGCTTTCGCGTCAGGCGGGACTCGAGCCCGCATCACACGCTATTCGGGAGCGCGTGCTCTAACCCGTTGCACTAGTGACGCCCGTTTTGCCGTCAGTCTTTCTGCGTTACAACGCATCTATCTGTCAGCAAACAACCGTGTTCTATGGCGTACTATACATCCAAGGAGGCTGAGTGGTATGGACAACAACGCTTAGGCGGGAGATGAATCCGCGTTTGGCCTAAACGAGGGGCTCGTGTTGTGGCATTATGCGCCCCCGGTAAGGGTAAAGCGCGGGTTCTATTCCTGCCGAGGCTCAAGGTTTTGTATATCACTCAGTATCACTTAATACATGACTACACCACCGAATAAGGGTGAAACATGATCCATGATTAAACCAATAATAAGACCCAAGGATGCTGAGTGGTATGTAAGACTTTAAACCTCAGACGGGAGCTGAACCCACATCTCATTCTTAGCGAGAGTCCCTTTTACCACTTGCTCAGTGGTCTACGGATATCCAAGTATGCTGAACGAGATGATAAGTACTGACCCTCAAGCGGGAGTCGAAGAACGAGTAGTAGCAGAGCGGTGGGTGACCGCTGTGGTGTAGTGGTAACACGCCGCCTCGGTATGAAGGAGACACGAGTTTAACTCTCACCTAAGGCTCGAAATTATGCATAACACTCAGCATCATTGTACTGTAACAGACCACTCAAAAAGCCTGAAGCAATATCCAAGGATGCCAGGCGGTATGCAAAACTTTTAACCTACGCGAGGGTCGAACCCGCGACTCAGCCGTGTCGAGAGCGCGAGCTACCGCTACGCCAGATTAAAATTAAATAGAATGAGTAATTAACAAGCCCGAAATAAGAAAAATTCGGCAAAGGTAAAAGTAAAATACACACTGACCTGACAAACTCGTACAAGATACTTCGGATTCAAACAATAATCAACTAATTAGCAGCAAAGCACCCAAGGCGCTCCTAGAAGTTCCGGAGCATCAACGCGGGCAACATGATGGCGACGGTCCACATATTGACGATGGAGCACACTAACCAGCGCCGCTTACACTTCGAAAAGTTTTCTGCAAAGATATGGTACTTCACTCTTTTCATTTTCCTCCTTCTTTTCTCTTCATGAGGCTCGCATTGAGTTATCAAAAGCTGTACATACTAATTTGTTGAACCGAGGGTAAAAAAGCAAGTTTTTGAGCGTTTTTCTCCACGACTAGCGAATATGGCGCAGTGGTTAAAGGTGCTCTGCGTCGCATGCAAAGTTGATGGTTCAATTTCGCGCTCATCGCTCACCAAGCCATCCATCCTTCCGTGATCGGTGAAATGGTTCCGAATTAGTCTCAGACTTGTCAGGGAGGATAAGCAGTACTGACTCGGTACAGCGGGAGGCCCCTGCGAGTCATTGTAAAGGCCAGATATGCATTCAGTCACCTTGAACGAAGTAAAAAATTGAGGAGGAATGCATGGCGCATGCCTTAGAAATTCATCAGCGCCGACAGCTTCGTCCTTTTTCCCACGAACACTTAAATTTTTATGATTAGGTGCCCCATAGATGTCATATCCGCAGTGAAATCGGTCTCTGAGTAGATGTTTTGGATCGTTTCGTGCGTAATCCATCTGTCTGTACCTGCGAAGTTCCAGGATTCACCAGTGGATAGCGAAGAGTAGCCATGATGTGCACGTACTTGTTGACGTTACCCTTCATGTGAAATACATTAGATGATGGAGAATAATGGTTCTTTTCGAATTCAAATCAACAATAACCGGCTCGAAGTGATCTTTACGGATTCCAATGAAAAGTATAATTTATGAAGATCTTTTCCGGGTTACAAGTTATAATTTCCTCGCTATTCATATTTTCATTGATGTTCATTTTCGAAGAAAAACCTACTGAACAAGCCGGACTCCGAGGATGTTGAGATATAAAGAACTTCGAACCTCAGTTGAGAGTCGGACTCGCGTTTCACCCATCCTGAGGTCATGTGCTTCCACTACGCCATCGAAGCCAAGGCTCCACTATCATTCTTTCTCAGGATTCATTCATATAAATTTGCTCATATCTGAGTGTTTAATTCAGGATTTTGAGAATTTGAACTTTGTTTCGTTTTTTTTTTTTGAATTAAACTCCTCAACTAATTCACCAGGTATAATTCCGCTATCGGAAATGTTTTTTTGAAAGGACCTTTTTCACTGGACAAAGGCGTTCCCCCAAACAATCAATAGCCATTCGAAAGCTTAAATCATTGTCAATCTGAAAATGTACGTGCTTCTCGAAAAGGGCTTCTTATAACGCTTCAGCAATAGTAATAGCGTTTCGTTTCGCGTGCTCTATCGCGTTTAGATCTCGCTGGGTAGACCTCTTCCCTCAAACAAGCGCTAACTATTTTCAGTGTCAGTCTCGGCAATTTCAAAAGTTTATCCTTTCCTTTTCAGGAAACGACCCCGCACAGTGATGTAGCAGAGAAAATAGAATTGTGTCTTACACCCCCTAATTTTTAATAGGGCAGAGTTGATTCGACAAACTACCAGTAGTTATTCGATAGTGTAAGTTTCGCGGATTTCAAAAGTGTGCTTGTTTTCTGAAAAGACCGTTCTACTGCGTTGTAGCACGGAAAATAATATCGAGCTTCATTCTCGTTGCCTAGTGTTTGTCGCCTAGCGTGTGTAGTTGTTTAATCGATAGCGCGATCATTAGACCGCGCAGGCAATTCACATGTGGAGTGCGATTCTTGATATTGACTTTGAGATTTTCTTCTCTTAGAAAAAAATCTCCTGAAAATCTATGACTCTGATACTTAGAAATTTCCTCTGAACGTTCATTTGCTTTTCGTGCTTCCAGCGAAGCAACAGTAAAAGCACGCAGCGCGTGAAAATAATTTCATTTTGAATATTACAGCGCCATAAAAAGGCCTTTTAAAAAAGCAATTAGATTTCTGGATTCCCATTGATCCAAACTTTTAAACGATCATCAATACTTCAATGGAATTTTTTTCCCGGTAAAAAAGAACCTTACGAAAAGCCCGTTCCGATATTGGAATTGTAATACTCAATACAGAAATGATGTTGTTTAATAGCTGTACGTACGCTTGAGAAGATAGAGCTGGTTTTGTTTGAGATCCCTATAAAGTTCCCAGTCCTGTCATTATTTGTTTTTTTCAACCCGTTGTCGTACTATGCGAATCCCAGCCCTTGTATTCAGTTCATTTTCTAGCATTCATCCGCCACGATGTCCATCGAACATCTCGCGTGTCGTGGCTTGAGGAGTTCGTCTTCTTCAATGATGTAGAATTTTGGTCCTTTCGAATCTTTTGCAATCATAAAGCTATCAAAGCTATGGCGTCTCCACGTGGACTTTCACGCGAGCGTTGGGAAAGAAGGTCGAACTTTCCTTTCGGAAGACGTGCATCGCTATCCACTGTGCTATTCCCGTAAACTACTGGATTATTCGACTATTTATCGTGTTGTCGGAGCGCCTGCTTTCTTCACGATCTTGTTAACCGTTTCGGGACGGCGTGTGTTCCTTTTATAGTAAAATTTGGATTCTAAAGGGATTCAATTGTCACGAATTGGCACAATATCACTGAAGAGACTCCCGTGCACGTACTGTTAGTAAAAAAGTACAACCTTGTGCTCTAGAAGATTCTATTTTTATTTTGAAAACCACATCCTTGCGAAAAGAACCTATTTTCAACAATTACTGCATGGTTTACCGATCATGTTTAAAAAATGTAACTTGAAAAACTATTACATAGCTGGAGTAAACGTGGAAAGCGCGTGTTCTTCAATGTATGCAGTGCTTTCTGAGAAAAATGAGTATCAGTGACTTCTATTTTACATCTCACTTATGTCATGTAATCCTTTTTAGAATCCGATTTTCAACAATTCACCTTTACACATTTTTTTGATCGACAATATACTATTCTGCGTAGAGCATTCACTTCCAACATAAAATAAGCAATTACTATATCCTGAAACACCTTCAAGAAAGAAAGAAAGAAAGAGGAAAGAAAGGAATAGATAGGAGGATGGGGGGGGGGGGGGTTCCAATTCCCATAATGATAAAATGCAAATATTTGTCTGCAACAATACACAATAAAACCCATACCTATAGTATAAAATACTCAAGGCAAATTTCTAAGTCGTTTCAGATTACATTCTTTTTGAGCAAAGTTGAAGCATTCTGAGACAATGCTTCTTATATTGGTTGTACCTCATACGTACTTTTCTAGTTTTCTTTCGACAACATTGAACTTGTCCATCCTCTGCCAGCCTTAGTAGACTGGATGACGTCATTTCGAGAACGTAGGTAATGATCGATTGAGGAACAGTGCTTCTGTATTTCTACAGACTTTTTATTAGGCCTTTTTTCAGGGTTTTAGTACTGCATGTGAGTGGTATACGTACGTTTTCGACTGTTTCGCCCGTTTCAACAGTATCACGCGCCTCATACTATTTAGTGTTGAGCAAAACGTTCTGGGAAATTTTGAAGGTTGAATTTTTATGCGCAAATCAACAACAGAATCCGTCGATGAGATTAACGAGGGTGAAGGTGCTTTTACGGTGACAAAATCGATTGTGGGCAGATGGTTTAAGCACGAGTTAATAAGAATAACTGCTCTTCAAAGTATAGTCCACCATTGTCCACGACTTTATGCCTTCGTTCTGCAAGATTCAGAATCTGCTCGAAAAACCATTCCGGCTCCTTTGAATCGGAAAACTCTTGACATCCTTGTCCAACTTCATCAAAAGTTTGGATCGACGACTATTCAAAAAGTGTTGCTTTGATCAAAGAGGCAATAATCGAATGGAGCAACGTCTGGACTGTAAGCGGGGTACGGAAGGACTTCGACGCCGTCCAACTTCGATTCTGTCCTTGAGGTTCTTGGAATGATACATGTGTTCGAGATCGAATCTGCCTTGTTTGAATCGCTAAACCATATGCCCATAGTTGATTTTGTAGCTTAGTAGCACCTTCACGATTACTAATCTCATCAAGGGTTTCAAGAGTCGTTAAACCTTTTCTCGTATGGCGGATCAACAAGCGCAAATCATGCGTTCAACAAAATTTTTGGAGCTGAAATTAAT